ATGTTGTACTATGAGCTCCTGCCAACCGGTACCACGGTGAAAGCCGTCGTCTACGCTGCTCAACTTCAGAATTTGGATGGCGTCATTCAAAAAGAGCGTCCCAAACGCGACAAAGTTCTCCTTCTGCATGACAACGCTCGTCCACATGTTGCGAAGATGACTCGCCAGACAATTTCGGAACTGGGCTGGGAAGTTTTACCCCATCCAGGGTATTCTCCGGACTTGGCCCCTTCTGACTATCACTTGTTCTGGGCCTTCAAGAATCACCTGCAGGACAAGGCCTTCATGATGTCGGCCGTTTCTTCGCTTCGCAATCACCAGAGTTCTGGGCAAAGGGCATCGAGCAGTTACCCATGCGTTGGGAACATGTCATAGACAACAATGGTCATTACATTGTAGACTGAAATTGCATTTCAATAAAGTTATAACATTTTGAAAAATTTGCACAGAGTGTTGCAAGACTTTCTTTCCAACCCAATAGTATTAATTTTATTGGACTACTATGAAAACTTTTTTACTGCACCTCCTAGCTTGCATTCAGTTCAAGTGAGGTTTTATTTGCTCTAGAAAAATAGGTGGTGGTATGATTGACTTTGCTTCCCAAGGAAATGTAGCATTCTGATATTTTGGAAGGCGGCTAATGACAACTAACATTTATCTTAAAGGAGAATGGAGTGATGTGTGATACATCTGTGGATGAGAGCATTGTGAATGAATCTCATGGTGCACCATCTGCTAATCACCAGGAATGGGAGAGCCCTCCCTTTTGCCAGTTTACACTTGGCCATATCACTCCTCTAATGAAGTTATTCATCTGAAAATCTTAGCAAAAGATATTTCTCATCTGGTACAGCACACCATTTTAAAAGGTCTTCAAGGAGCTGTGGAGAATGGAAAGAGAGAAATTTAAGAATGGACCATGAAAATTTTTTATTATTTTCACTGTCATTTGGTGCATCTATTTGTCCTACCACTCCTTTTGTGCATGTGAGCAGTTCCTCTTAGCTTGTGTTCTTTTTTTTACTCAAAAGTGGCTGTTTCTTATTGCCAGAGTGCAGTTTTGATTATGTTGCAATCAAAAAAAAAAAAAAAAAGGATATGTATTTTAGGAGAATTTTCCCCCTTTACTTTCTCTCAAGATAAAAAGTAATGTTCTGATTGTATTTACATTATTTACTTGGAGTCTGTTAATTCTTTTAATTTATCTTGTGGGTTTTGATTGGTTTTTTCTTTGCAAACATGTATATGAGGCATCATTCTATTATTCTGTGAAGTACGCTTTGAGCTTTAAACGTAATTTTAGGAGCAGCAGTGCTGCAGAAGATCTTTAATTAAAGTGAACTTAGAAACAAAGCAGTTTTATGTTGCCAAATGAACCTGTAGTTTTCTGCTGCATGTTTGGCTTGTCCGATATGACAAGCCCACTTTTGTATGCTCCAGCCACTCTTGTAATGCAAGGAATTCATCTTGGACCTTTGAGAAGTGAGACTCCAGGAGGATGAAATTACTTGTGTATCAGTGATGTCTAATCATTAAGTCATCAGGAGATGTGTAACTTTCAAGAGTGATTTCTGGGGTCTCACTGATAGTTCAGCACCAAACAATGAAAACTTAAAATATACTATGGTGGAGAGTGAAATGTATTATTCTAAGTGGATTTAAGAGTTGTACCAAGAGAAAGGATTCTAATGGAAATGTCAATACCTTGCTGAATGTTTAGGGTTAGAAATTAGGTTTATTTTCATGTAAATTTTGTTCATCAGAGAAAGTTCAAGGAAAGAGAAGTTTCTAAGGAAGCATTGTGCTTTAGAATTGCAGTGCATTTTAATTTTTTTTTTTTACTCCACATTATATTGATAACAATTGCATGGATTTTTTTTACTTTAAATATTTATCATGGTGCACGGTTTGCTGTCATTTTTAATGTTTGATCGATTTGATTTTGCTTGTCAGGCACTCGCTCCTAGGAGATGAAGTGGAGGCAAGAAAACGAGGAACCGAGGAGATCTCGAACCAGAGCTCGGTGCCGCAACTTCTGAGCCGTATCGCTGAACTCCAAGAGCGAATCCGCATCCTCGAGGCCAAACGTTCCAACTCCAACTGTCAGGAGGACGATGACCATGCGGCCATCAGTCCCCTCAAGAGTGAGGTAATGAAGCAGGCAATATAATTCTCACTCGATGCTGTTATGGTGTATTTAATTTTAGTTTAAAATGTTGCTGCGATGTAAAGAATTTGCCGCAGCGATGTACTGCCGTACTGATGTACTTGCAGCTGCAAGATGTACCGGTTTTAGTTACAACGGTCGTGAAAGTATCCTGATCTGTGTGAATTCCTTGCACTCCGCTAGGTGTCTCGGCTGCGGCTGCAGGTGCTGGAGCGGGACGGCCAGATGAGCGAGCTGCGCGATCGCTACGCGAAACACAGGGCCGTCCTCACCGAAAACTGGCGAAGAGCCGAGAACGAGGTCGCACGTCTCGACCACACCATGGACCGAGTCCTTCTCGTACGTGTTTTTTTACTCTCGGCTTTTGGGAAGTTTTACGTGCCGTCTCGAGCGAGATCGTCGTGTTTCAGGGCCTGCAGAGCTCTCCGGAAGCGGTGGCCTCGAGTCCGGGCCTCAAGAACCTGTTGGAAGAACTCGCAGGCACGCGAGGTGGAATCGGGAATTCGTACAACGGGAACAAGATGGCAGGCTGGAGCCCGAAACGCTGGACTAACGGGACCATCGACGAGGCGGCAGAGATCGAGACCATCATCGAGTGATCGTTCCCCGGCATTCTTTGCGCACATATCAGGCTGCCCCTCGTCCCCCTCCCCCTGCCTCTTTTTCCGATGTAGTGCATCCCACCAAAATGTTTTTTTTTTTTTCAGTGTGAAGTGAAATTGAGAATAAAATGACAGAATTTCTAACACAGTACCTTAGCATAAAAAAGTATGGCTTCTTTTCTTCTAAAATTTAGGGTGGATTTTTGAACAGAGAACTGTCTGATAATGCAGCTTTATTCCAGGGAAAGTACATGATATAGTAACTTGGGGGAATATGGCCATTGGGGTAACAAGGCCCTTCACAATCAATCCCCTTACAGGCTGATTAATTAGTTCGGGCGAATTTAAAAAATAGTTCTTTCGAAGAGTACATGCAATTGTCGAAATCTTGGGACTTGTTCATTGATCCAGTTCTCACTGGAATTTGATATACATCGATGTCTTGAAAGTCATATGCATGCGATTCTTTGACTCATGACCCTGAAACTAATATGAGCCTCGAGCAACTTAAGCGTATATTTCCTGATAGCAGCTTGGATACAGAAACCATTTCTTCAAAGTTCTTCTATGCTCCCTCTAGAATGTTTGTGAAATGTGCTAACCTCTTCACTTGCGGTTTGCAGACGGTGTTGTCGATTTTGTCATGCATGCCAATATGGGGGAATATGGCCATCTCGATTTGGGGTAAAATGGACACTTAACTTCATTTCGTGTTAGCACCGCACTGACCTATTGGTAGGGCAGATTCCTATCGTGTGGGATCTGACGCTGCAAAAGGTCATCCAATGCACTTCCTCTGGATATATGGATAGAGGAACTGTACATCTGGAAGAAATACGAAGTACATGAGGATATGCTCATGCACGGCCTCGTGGACATCCGCTTCGCTTGACATGCTCCAGAAATTTTCCTGGCACGAAATTTGAATGCAAGTAAATATCCCTTGTGCAAAAAGTTGAAAGGGATTTCTCTGCTTTTTTTTTGGCACTATTTATCCATACGAGCAAAACTATGTAACGTTTTTCCTGCGATGTAAGACCTCTTATCGTCACTCCTAGCGCATATTCACTTTGATCTATGGTTGATCACTCCTCTTACACCCACGGTCTCTAGATACGGTCTCCCAATCACGTGCAATGCTACTCAGAGCCGAAAACTTTGCAATCCTGCTTTCCGCAACAAGTCCTCTCGAGTCGGGTAATGATGTCGACTTCTCTGTTTGTCCACGATGCAATTAACGTATTTCTTTTTCAACTGCTGAGCGTTCTTTATTACCTTTATTACGATTCGAGGTACTCGCCATGTTCCAGCGTATTTCAAACGTACTTGGAAAACCTTGAGTTAGTTTTTGAGAAGTGGCTATATTCCCCCAACAATACGGCCTACTGAGACCGACTTGGAAAAGACGCAAAGGCGCAATATCCATGCAATTTTTTGCATGTGCCTTGATGGGATTTAGTAAAGGAGATATGAATCAGTGCTTTAGAAACATTTTACATGTCAAATTAGACCTCGATGGACCGTTAGGACCAGTTTTCATTTTTTAGGGCCATATTCCCCCAAATTACCCTATTTCCTGGAAATAAAGCAGCATTATCGGATAGTTCTCTGTTCAGAAATCCACCATAAGTTCTCGTTTATATTGTAATGCTGAGGTGTGGATTGCATAAAACTGACTTAAGCGTAATGGAGATTTAAAGCCCCTTTTGCAGCGCTAAAGGAGGTTTAAAGCTCCATTACGCTCAAGTCAGTTTTATGCAATCCACCCTGTCTTTATATTACATATTTTTTTCTTATTTAGAAACCTCCTTTCTGTCGATGGAAATGAGGCTTCTCATCCGATCGCTCTGGCGTCTGTCGGCACGAAACTTTCGTGAGTTTTTGCAGGAATGCAGTTGCTTGAAACCTGACGATTTTACGGCAGCCAGAGCCCGATGAACTCGACGGGGAGAAATCGGGGAAGCGATCGTAACTGCACGAAGACGGGGACGAATTTCGGCCGGATCGCCTGCAACGTTACCGTCGGGACCGAACGAACGCAAAGGCCCGCGAAGGGGAACCCTGCCGCCGCGAAACACCATATTTTATTTTTGGCGAGTGGATGGGCGCATCTACGGAATGATGAAAGAACGCTTTCGATCCGAATCGTCGTCCGGTCCGGAACGTTCGTTTCGTGCGATCTTTTCGTCACAAAAAATGCGTCATTTCCCCCGAAAAAGCGAAGAGATGGCTTCGTTTCCCGCCTCGCCGCGTGGAACGGACTGCAAGCCCGCACGACGACCGGTGACGTGTTTTTCGGATTCGATCCGAACGCATTTCTCTCGACGTTCTCTGCATTCCGTCGGCGACGTCGAGGAACGGCCTGAATGTTCCGGGTCGATGCGAAGCGAAACTCGAACCGATGAGCCGTCCGTCACCGACTCCCACCCGGGTGGGAGTCCATCGAAATCGGGTGCACGGGGTTCCTTCGCGTACCGATTGCGCTCTCCTGACCGCGAAGGCCGTGAAGGCCGTGAAGGCCGTGGCCCCTGCGTGGTCCCCGTGCGATCCTTGCTTGGACCCCACGCGGCCCGCCTCTCCGTCTCCGGATCTCGGAGATCCGCGGATGGATTTTCCGGCGTTCGCTTTTCGGGCGGGCGAGAGAAACTCTCTCGTCCGCCTCGCTCGCGACGAGAGATCCGATTCGCCTCCTCCGATCGAACCGTACGATCGCCCGGCCTCGAAAACGAAAGGACGTCGCGTGCGGTTTCCTCCCCGACGGCGAAAAGCAGGAGTCGAAAGAGGCGCCGCACCTCGAGGGATCGGATTTCGTCTCGACCTCTTTTCGTTTCCGGACTCGAACGATTCGTTCTCGGCGCTCCGTGGCGTTCCGAGAGGCGAGAGACGAACGCGGATCGAAGACTCGTCCGTTTCGACTCGTCGAAACGAAGGCCGAACGCGAAAAAAGACGCTCCCCGGGAATCCAACGCGACGCGGTCCGTTCCCGACTGCGAGAGAAGAGAGACCGAAAGGAGACGCGATCGGGTTCGAGGTGCGTCCACCGCAATCGCGATTCGTTCGAGCTCGTTCGGAACGAGATTTGAATCACCTTCCGCAGGGAATTTTTTTTCCTGGGTTCCATTCCTCTGTCGCGTTCGGAAGAACGTTGGAAGAGCTACGAGTCACGCGTCGGAACCGGAATCCGTCTCTGGCATAGCTTTTTGCATTCCCGAGGAATGCGCGAATATTTTCATTCGTTCTCTCACGGGCTCCGGACGAGTTTTTCCTCGCACTCCCGTGCTCGGTCCTCCGAGACCGGCGAAGTCGCTCGAGGCCGAGGTACCTCGGGCGAAAAACGATCGCGGATGCGAGACTTCTCTCTTCCGAATTTTCGAAATCGCGTCAGCGAATGCGCACGGACCGTCTCTCCTCGCGGAAACGCGTCGCGTCTCGTCTCGCACGCAGCAAGATGCGACGACACGAGACGAAATGGATGCCAAGCGGCATTTCGCCGCGGCGGCGATCGTCGTGCGTTCGCGACGGAGTCGCACGGGCTTTCCGCCGTCGGTCGACGGTCTCTGGTAGAAACGGGAAACGAAAAGACGACGGCCCTCTCAGCCTCTCGGTCTTCGACGAAGACCTTCCAACTTTTCTCGTCGATGCATCCCATCCGCGATAGGAGGACGAGGTGTTGCGTTCTTCGATGCCTTCCGGTTCGCCTTTCGACCGCGAAACGTCGACCTCGACTCGCGGCGGTAACAGGCGGACCCACTGAGATCTCGTGCGATCGCGGGGGAACCGCGAGGGGTCCATTCGTATTTCGATGCCGCTCGTTCGAGAGCCATGCGTTCGGGTGGAGAGGACGCACCAAAGTTTCAGAATTTTCATCCGGCAGTACGTGATGAGTGATTTTTGCAATCTCCGATCGATATAGAAGTTCGCCGCGAGTCATCACAAATCACGATGTCACGAAGAGCAACGATTACGATAAATTGGCAGGGTCGATGAGATCATCAGGCCACAACACGTCCCTACATCTGTGGGAGTTGGCGTGATTGCGAAATAAAAAATTTCGTTGCCCTGGCACGTTTTTTCTATGCTCGAACTTACAGCAAGGTAAGCCGTAAGCCCATATGGAGGCGTTCCAACGATGGAAGCATGCGCTGTCGTTGCACAGGGTTGTCGCATGTGCGAGATGTTGAATCCACTACTTGCTAAGCTGAGTCGCCTATAAGCGTAACCTTCGGCTTCGTTCTCGTTGGGCGGAGCAGTAACGTTAGCTGTTGGGAGCCGGGACCGGCATCATTCGTCGACTGATTTGTTTTGTGCTGGAATCTAAGCGATCCAAGTAGGCCTACAAGATGACCGACTCGAAGTACTTCACAACCACGAAGAAAGGGGAAATTTATGAGCTCAAGTCCGAGCTCAACAGCGAAAAGAAAGAAAAAAAGAGGGAGGCCGTGAAGAAGGTAAGTGCTTGTTGCGTTAATCTTAGGCCTAACGTTTGTAGTGATTCCACATTATTTTTTATTTTATTACGTTTTATAACAGTTTACAAGGTTTTTCACTTGAGTCTGCCAATTTTTTTTCCCCTTGCTCAGGCACCCTAGCTTGAGGAACATCTCTTACCTAAATTTCGAAGTCAAGTGAAAAATTGACTCAACTGAAACACACTGTTTCTCAAGGTTAGAGGAATTCGATAAATTGGCTTGAAACTGAAGAACTAAACTGGAAATAAATTGAAACTGGACTTGAACTAAGTTGATGCTGGTGTTATAACTTAATTGCATGAAATCAATGAGCCTGAGTTAGTACAAGGCCAAATCACTAGTTGTTTTAATGCAATGGCTGCAGGAACAGGGAACAGAGGTAACGTAAGTACGCGAAAGTCGACCCGTGCACGAATTTGGACGGAATTCCGGTTCACTTTACGGACCTCACCACTATAATGACATACTGCCCTCTGTGTCTTCGTCTTCGAATCCATGTTTTAAGCGAACCTTAAAATGTGTCTCACAGAGAATGCATCATTGTTAATCCATATAGTCAACCGGAAACGAGCTCCCTTAAATTACATCATTCTTACTTTAAGTGCGGCACACTGAGATCATGGTTACAAATGTCCCTGGTATATATTATGTTGTGGTACTTACGGGTGGCTCTAAGCGTTGATGGTCGTAAATATAGTGTTCTAAGGTAACTGAAGAGTATGCTGTAAGAAATGGTTACATCATTATGTTCTTGGAATTTGATATTTTAGAGGGTCGGTTTTCTGGACCGAATTGCAGTGAGGGTCTCTGAAAGTCTATCCCTAGTCGTAGGCATAGGCAAGTGAAGCACACGCCTAAGGTTGGGAACTCTGCATTCATATGTACAACGCCACTTCTCTAGTTGTGCTAACCGTACATGTATCTTTCCATGATCAGCCTAAGATCTATATCAAAGGCCATGGATATTCTAATCAAGTTTGACTGTCAAGCAATATCCAGCTAGTCCCCTCTTTGAACCTCCCTCCTGGAGGTACCTCTCAGGCAATTATGCTGGGAATATGCAGTCTGTCCAAAATCGGTCATTCCTGGCTCTGCAAGCCAACACGGCAAGCAGCGTGTGCGTATAGAGGCTTGCTAAGACCTTCACGCCGGGTGGTGGATGCTTAGTGAGGCTAGGAAGCACAATCACAGGCCCGACTTTGAGGAACCGCAGGGTTGGCTTTCGTGCCGTTGGTTCGATTCATGCGTCCAAATATATTATTGCATTTCAATGCTTCTTGCGATATCTAACTTTTACAGATAAACACACTCACGACCCTGCGTGAAGCATTTGTTCAGTATGGAGCCTCTCTTGTGCAGCACGTCATTGTACTAAGGAAACGGGCTCGACTTTAGCGTAATTACTATAACATTAATTAGACCTGTCTAAGGTAAAGACCAAAATCAACTCTTGTTTTGTGGTTTTGCTTTTGCCTATGAGGTTTCCTCAGGTTAACGTTTAGCATTTCAGTTTAGATGACTGAATGATTTGCCAGGCCAGTCAACTTTCAGTCAAGTTTTTTTGCTTTCCAGGTGATTGCATCAATGACTGTTGGGAAGGATGTCTCATCTCTCTTCCCTGATGTTGTCAACTGCATGCAAACTGATAACCTTGAACTGAAGAAGCTTGTCTATTTATATTTGATGAATTATGCAAAGTCTCAACCTGACATGGCTATCATGGCTGTCAATACCTTTGTAAAGGTGAGTGTTGGGATTAAGTGATGCCACATGATCCTTATTAACTGCCATATTTTGCATTGCTAAAATAATCATGTTGGTACTGTTATTATTCTGCCCAGGACTGTGAGGACCCCAATCCACTGATTAGGGCCCTGGCTGTGCGTACGATGGGATGCATTCGAGTGGACAAGATCACAGAGTATCTCTGTGAGCCACTCAGAAAATGTCTCAGGGATGAAGATCCCTATGTGAGGAAGACAGCTGCTGTTTGTGTTGCGAAACTTCATGACATCAATGCATCCCTTGTGGAGGACCAAGGCTTCCTGGATCAGCTTCGAGAGCTCCTCAGTGACTCCAACCCCATGGTATGACTGAATTTGTAGAAGTTTGAACCATCATAAGATCTGCTTTTCTTCATTTGGTATTCTGAGAATCCATTGGCATAATCTCTTTCTCTGTCACTCTGAAATGTGGAAGTTGTAGTTTGGCCTATGATTGAGCTTCTATATTAGAAAGGTAGAGAAGTCAGATGGAAGTGCTAGATCTAAGTTATAAAATTGCTACTGAGCACTCTGTTTTGTTGTCAAACAGGTGGTGGCCAATGCAGTAGCAGCTCTGGCTGAGATCAGTGAGACTAGTACGTCTGACCAGATGATTTTCGATATGACACTCCAGACTATCAATAAGCTTCTGACTGCATTGAATGAGTGCACTGAATGGGGTCAAATATTCATCTTGGATGCCTTGGCCAATTACAATCCCAAAGATGATAAAGAGGCCCAGAGGTGAAATCCATTAATCTCACCATTGCTAAACTTTTTTTTGATGAGAGATTATAATGCGAGTTTCATGATTGTTCATTCCAGCATTTGTGAAAGAGTGACACCTCGTCTGGCCCATGCCAATGCTGCAGTTGTGCTCTCTGCTGTGAAAGTCCTGATGAAATTCATGGAGGCTCTTCCTGAATCCTCTGACTTTGTCACCAACCTTACAAAGAAGCTTTCCCCTCCTCTGGTTACACTTCTTTCATCAGAGCCTGAGGTTCTTTCTCATTTCCTTGATATAAAGTTCAGAACTGATGTGATTGCCTAACTGGGCCTAGCTGCTGACAAGGATTGCCAACAAACTGTAATCACTTATGCATTTTAATGCCTTTTAATTTTAGGTCCAGTATGTTGCTTTGCGAAACATCAACCTGATTGTGCAGAAGCGACCAGACATACTTAAGCATGAGATGAAAGTGTTTTTTGTCAAGTACAATGATCCAATCTATGTGAAGCTGGAAAAGCTGGACATCATGATTCGTCTTGCATCACAGGCTAACATTGCTCAGGTTCTCTCTGAACTCAAGGAGTGAGTACCATTTCTTCCTCCTGGTAGTCATCTAATAATTGAGAAGCACTGGTATTGACCTGCATGTAGAGCAAGTTTTGGGGACATAATAGCCTAGGACAGGATAAGGGAACAGTCATGAATTACTTAAGCTTGGATCAGTCAGTATCAAGTAAGAAACTTACCCTACATAAGAGTCATGGTGTTTCTACATTATGTTACAGGTATGCCACAGAGGTAGATGTGGATTTTGTACGGAAGTCGGTCCGTGCTATTGGGCGTTGTGCTATCAAGGTTGAGCAGAGTGCTGAACGATGTGTGGCCACACTCTTGGACCTGATTCAAACCAAGGTAAACTATGTGGTACAGGAAGCTGTGGTTGTGATCAAGGACATCTTTCGTAAGTACCCCAACAAGTATGAGAGCATCATCTCCACTCTCTGTGAGAATTTGGATACCTTGGATGAGCCAGAGGCCAGGTAAGAATAATCTAGGTCTGTCCTTGTGAAGTGGTCTTTTGCAAGAAATTTAGCTAAATTTTTGGATTTTGCATTCTCTACAAAAATTGTTTCTGAAAGAATGAATGAATGACAATTTTATTTTTAAAATGGAATAGTGTCATTTTTTCATATATTATTAATGCCACTCTCATGATTATAACTTATATAATGAAAATTAAAATCTGGAGCATCTGAATAGGACTAGTGGAGTTGATGACAACATGGGCTCTCCCATACTTAGTGTCAATTTCAAATCTGCTCATGTGTGAAGAGAGGTTATCAATTTTTCTTATATGCATGGTTTTTTTTTTTAGCTCAGCATTAAAATGTATGTACAGGCTTCATATTCAAATAAACTTTTAGAAAATGTCATACCCAACATGATAACAAAATATATTTTATTTATTTTCCCAGTAGTGTGATCAAGGGGTGACTTATGCTAATTTCAGACTTTAATTTTACAACAGTATATTTGGAATGAACATAATACCAAATTGATGGATTGCCTTATGTCACAGAAGTGTGACCACTAGAGCAAGTGACTTCAAGCTGACATTTCAATGTCACCTCTGACTGTTTTCTTTGCATGTATACCTCTAGCAAAAGAGAGTATGCAAGATTTTGGTTGATGAAATTTTCAGTCACTGCCTAAGGCTAAATGTTTCAGCCTTTTTGTGTGGTATCATCATTTGTAATATTGTTGAATGTATATTGTGTGTCATATATTACTCTGGATGTCACATCCAACACTATGGACAGGCCCATCTCCAGTCATTTTGCTTTAGAGGTGTCACGTTGTCCTAGATCTTGGGTACAAGGAGGTCTGTGAATTAAAATTTTAGTTTGTCTCTCTTCCCTTGTGTCTTGGTAGAACCAACATGAAATGAATTGGGAGTGACAAGGTAGTGGGAATCAGGACTTCTTATCCCTGTCCTATGCTAGGATATAAACTACCTGAAATTTGAAATAAGTGGTTCAGATGTCAAAATGAAACTGCATAGAGCCAATCCACTTTTTGGACTGTGTGCAGGGCAAGCATGATCTGGATCATTGGAGAGTATGCAGAGAGGATCAACAATGCAGATGAATTGCTTGAAGGCTTTCTCCAAGGCTTTGCTGATGAGAATACCCAAGTCCAACTTCAACTCTTGACTGCTGTTGTGAAACTTTTCCTCAAGAAGCCATCAGAGACACAGGAACTTGTACAGCAGGTCTTTATCAATCCTAAATTCCTGGCAGTTTTCTTACAGGAACAGAAATGCAATGAGAAAATGTATATCTGTGGAGTACATATGACAAAACTACATTTTTTGGTTGTATGAAGAATTCAAGTGCCACTCTTTCCCAACCAAGTGCTTGCCCATCAAAGGTCCCTTAGGGCCATTTTTTTGGTCTAGAAGCAAGGACCATGTGAGAGACACACACAAACCTATAATCAAATTTACCATTTTAAAACAGGATAAGGGAATTTTCTACCTCACTGTGATTGAAAGTTTCAAGGGAAAAAATTGTTCCATGCTTGCTTACTCTGTAGGTTTTACTCTGTTAGCTCTGTAGGTCATTGAGTGCATACCTCCCAATTTATGTTGAATCTCACATTATTTCCATGGTGGACTATAATACTGAACAGGAAGTACATTGTGTCACCTCCTACTAAGTAGATATTGCCTAAAATTTAGAAATGATTGTTCTTGACAGGTGCTAAGCCTGGCAACTCAGGATTCAGACAACCCGGACTTGCGAGACAGAGGGTTTATCTACTGGCGTCTGCTGTCGACAGACCCAGCAGCTGCCCGAGATGTTGTCCTTGCTGAGAAGCCTCTCATCTCAGAGGAGACAGACCGCATCGAGCCCACGCTTCTCGATGAGCTCATCTGTCATATCTCAAGTCTTGCCTCTGTATATCACAAGCCTCCATCTGCCTTCATTGAGGGACGGGCAGGACTTCGCAAATCCCTGCCTTCAAAGACTGAGTCAGTCTCCTCCACTATCTACTAGTTAGCACCCTGTCTTTTCAAGACTTAAAAGCTCATTTGCTAATATCCTTGAAAACAAATATTTTCCTGTCTTGATACTTCAGTTAGCTTTTTATCAAGGCACCTCTTAACAATTCCATTATAAATTTGAATGGATGCATGTCTGGAAGGAAATTCCCCACTTTCTCCATTAAAAATGAAGTGTTCCTTGATTTTCAGAAAAAGCTGCTCATAGAATGTAATAATGGGCCAACATTCACTCCTTGCATTCTGAATCAGTGTCACTGTAAGTCTTTGATATTGCTTAACTTGACAGAGGAGGAGTTAGTGGAGGTGAGTCAAATGCCTTGCAGTCAACAGTCATACCCTCACAAGATTCACTCATTGGGGATCTTCTGAGTCTGGACATAAACCCCCCACAGTCTGGGATGATGCTTGGAGGGGTATCATCTTCATTTGCTCCACCTTCATCTTCCAGTGGAACCATGGATCTTCTGGGCTCTGGTTTAGACAGCTTGGTCTGTGTGTTTCCTATTATCATATTTTCTTGGGGTATGGAAGTTGGGAAGGGCAAGGAGTCATTTCACAATATTGATCATTATAGAATGCATTCTAATGGGCCATATAAGACCTGAAATGATTATGTTTATGTATGAAAAGGAAAAAGAAAAGTCCACTGCCAAAAATGGGACATCAGTTACTACCAACTCCCCCTTATAAAGATGTAATTTTCATTGCTCCCTGTTCCTTTGTCATGATGGGGTTTTACTTTAATTTGAGAGAAAGGTACATCTTGTGATATTTAGCATAGTTTATGTATTCCTTTAGGTATTGCAATAGATTTCTAGGCACAAATATACCTTTATTTTTCATTCCAAGCAAGAAGTTTAATCCATTAAGCCGATTATTGTTATTGTATGCATTTTATTCCTATTCTAATGGCCTCTAAGACAAACATGGAGGTTGCCTGTAAGCCTATATTGCTTCTACTTGCAGTTGGGAGGAGATCCAGGAATAGGTAGTGGAGTCTTCGGAACTGCTCCTGTTCCAGCTGCCTCTACAACAGGACTTCTGGGTGACATTTTTGGCTTCACTGCCCAGCCGACATCCTATGCCCCCCCAAAACAAATCTGGCTACCAGCTAATAAAGGGAAGGGCTTGGAGGTATCTGGTACATTTACTAGACGTGGCGGTATCATCTACATGGAATTGACATTTCGTAACCAGGCCCTTCAGCCAATGAGTGGCTTTGCCATTCAGTTAAATAAGAATAGCTTTGGTTTGATTGCAAGTCAGGCATTGCAAATGGCAATGCCATTAATCCCACATGGATCCAGTGATGCCTCCTTGCCTCTTGCCACCAATGGACCTGTGCAAAAGATGGAACCTCTGGCCAACCTTCAGGTATGACCCCCAGTTTTCATTTTATAATTCATCCAAAGAGTTCAGATAACATGGATCTAGTCATCCCCAGGTTGCAGTGAAGAACAACCTGGATGTGTTCTACTTTGCTGTGGTGGTTCCCATGAATGTTTACTTCACTGAAGATGGGCAGATGGACCGGAAGGTGTTTCTTGCAACATGGAAGGATATCCCTGCCACTGCTGAGGTTCAGAGCCGCATTCCAGCTGCATCTCTCACTCCAGGTCCCACTTTCTTTTCTGTTACCAGTTCATTTTGCTTGGCATTCTGAATCTAAAATTATACATGAAAAATTACTATCATAAGGTTTTTTGTAAGTAATAAAAAAAAAACTGGATTCTGCGTGTAGGAAATTTCATCTCATTTTTGGAGCATTTTGTATTCCAGATTCTTCAATGGGAGAGTGTCTAACATACATTTTTCAAAGCTAAATAACCAGTTAACTTCGTATGACGAGTATACAGGGTGACCCAAAAGTCCTGCAGATCACTAAAGCTGTAATTTCTCTTTCAAATAAAGAGATAAATATGATTGCTTTATGTCATTCAAAAGAGCTTAAAAAATCCTGCAAAATACATTTTTCATTATTCAAAATGGGCTCCTTTTGCTTGAATTACAGCCCTCAAATGTTTAGGAAAGTTGTCCACAATATGACACAATTGATCAACAGTTATTTTCTTTCAGGTAGGCCTCAAAGCAAGCTTGGGGCACTATCCTGCTGGTACAGTAGTACCAGTCTGCAGTACCTTCTTTAAATTTAAAGACGGTACTACTTCCCTGGAGCCAGAAGCACTTTGGTAGCTGTCCATGGGTCTTCCAGCAGGATAGTGCCCCAAGCCACAAGGCAAAAGGCACAGTTCAGTGGTGCAAGAACAATTTTCCTGGTCTTATAACCCTTGGCGAATGGCCAGCTTGCAGTCCAGACCTGAATCCACTCGACTACATCATCTGGGGGTTTCTGCAGGACTGTGTGGGCTACAAATCTTATAGATCAGTTGCAAGTTTGAAGCTTGCTTTGAGGTCTACCTGGAAGAAAATAACTGTTGATCAATTGTGTCATATTGTGGAGAACTTTCCTAAGCATTTGAGGGCTGTAATTCAAGCAAAAGGAGCCCATTTTGAATAATGAAAAATGTATTTTGTAGGATTTTTAAGCTCCTTTGAATGACATAAAGCAATCATATTTATCTCCTTATTTGAAAGAGAAATTACAGTTTTAATGATTTGCAGGACTTTTGGGTCACCTTGTTCTTGTCATGAGTTTTCAGCCTTCATATCTGGTTGGTTTGACAAATTAGGGTGTTTAAAAAAAGACACCCCATCCTTTTTCTATGGGGAAATTACAATTTTATTTCTAGAATGAATGAAATAAATGAAAATAAAAATCCATAAAAATATAAATCTGACTTTTTCTGAGATTCTAACTTAATCCAAATGAATCCTTTAAAAGGGCAAAATCAGAATTTCACAAATTAATTTCCAGGCATTTTTGATAAAATGATGAATTAGAATAAAGATACTGGGCAGGATCAGTCTTTGGAAAGCTAAACCAAACTCAAATTGAACCTTCCCAATTTTTAACTGAATAAAATGTATTTTGAATTTAAAATCAAAAGCAATTTTTTTTTTCCTTAGAACTTTTCTGCAGTAACCAGAAAGTAAAGTTCTAGAATTCTGTGCTCCTAGAACTGTAGGCTGAAGGGAAGAGTCATGTGAGGAAAGATTTGAATGTTTGTACCCTCACATCAGAATCTCAAGTAAACTTTGTATTATTCTCACAGGGTTGAACAAATCCCCATTCATTGCAATGAATCTAATGCCAAGAGGCAAATCTCACATTTTATCAATAACTCAGCCTACATAAATCTGCTTGTGAGATTGAGCCTTCTCTGCATCATTCTCAATATGTTTTACCTCTAAGAAAATAGGCAGGAGCCAGAATAAAGCCTGGTCTGATTATTTCCCCTCTGGGAATGAATGTTATCTATCCCCCATAGGAAGTGAGTGGAGCACCTTTTTGAAGCACCCTATATACTTGTCTTGGGTCCTTGGCATGGAAATAGTATACACTTCATGTGAATACTCTTTCCATACCATTTGAGTTTCAATGCTATGAGATGAATATTCACTAGGAAAACTTGCTAAGCACTCCAATTTCACTAGTGGCTATGGAATTTTACTAATTGCCCAAAACAGCCACTCAAAAGGATTTTATTGATGAGACATGGTTTTAAAATTCCTAAAGATGTATAGAAAACATCAAGCAAAGTTTGAAGATCATGGGATAAATCAATACAGAGAAAACTTGTCAAATGTTTGAGGAATGGGAGAAACAAGTGGTACCTTTGATGACCCCTGATTCCATTTCTGTTTTCATTTAGCCACTTCAGCACTAATTGATTTCATGGTATGCTAGTACAAGAATGTTTACCAAATTTCAAGACCACTGAACTCCATGTTCATTCTTTTTTTGTGTGCAATGAGTAGAGTTAAATTCCATTGCACACATGAGTTCTGCACAGGAGAAACTACCCACCGAGCCTGCCACCAGTTAAAAGAACTGACCTTGTGGAGTGACCTTTTATTCCTTGCTTTTTCTGCTCTGCTATCCTCATTCCTGTGATATCTGTTAAGCAACTATGAATCTTTAAATCTCTGCATAATGAAGTGCCACTGTATACCTCCAATCATTTAGGTTACATTTTTGCATCCTTCTGGCATCAGTTGGATAAATGGCAAAGGACCTCTGCATTTCTTTTTTTATGTTTCATTATTCATCTGGCTACATTGTAATTGTTCTCTCTCCAATTGGAATGTGTCACATGTACAGTTAGGATGGTTAGCAACTGCATTGCCTTGAGTCACTTCCTGAGGCTTGCCTAGGTGTGTGTTGGACATAAAACCAGCAGAATCATGCCCAATGCCTAGGACCTGATTCAAGGAGGAACTGAGGAATAGATTAAAATGATATTAATTTACCAATTGATCAATTAAATGGCTCACAATTAATTGATTACATTTTAAAATTGATCAATGGCTCTAAAAAAAAGTATTTCCTTCTGCTGACTATTACTTTCATGATAAACACTATACATTCCTGATTTTGCTGGGATCATTCCTGTATATGCTAATCACCAGGATAGTTTTGACAAACATTGACAAAGGATATATTCTGAATGTGTTGCAGATGGGGTATCACAGAAGCTACAACAGCACAACATCTTCACTATAGCCAAGTGGACAGTGGAAGGTCAGGATCTCCTGTACCAGTCAATGAAGTTTACCAATGGGATTTGGGTTCTTGCTGAGCTCAAGTTCCAGCCTGCTTCAAATGAAATCATTGTGAGTTCTGCCTCTCCCATCCTCTTCCTTGAATTTCTCAATTAGAGAGGAATTGTGAAAATTGTTTCTGTAGCTCTCCTTGAAATCACGAGCCATGGACGTGATCCCAGGTGTGCAGGAGGCATTTCGTATCCTCATCAATGCATAGAATTGCCAAAGACATTCATCATTCATCATATGTCTGCTGGTTTCCTGTTTTTGTTCTTGCATATCCCATTGCCATCTGAGATTCCCTTATAGATGCATTCAAGTTGATTGGAACTCCACCAGAAGTGATGAACAGCAGACCCATCACTCTGAGCTATGTTGCTTTTGATGTCACATATGGTTATGATAGATTTATGCAATAAAGTATGATGCATTCCATTCATAAACTCCAATATATATTTGTAATTTTTTATGCCGTACCATTCACAAACTCTGAAACCTCAGTGAGGGCTGGCATGATTTACAGTATCTGCCTACCAGAGTAGAGCAATAAATTTGCTACCACTGTGCCTGACAGGTTAGGTGCTGAAGGCAAGAAACCAGACATTTATTCATGGTGTCTTCCGTTGACAAACAAAAACAGGGAAAGATTGGAATTCTCTTTCAAAACTATTGAATCTCCCAGGGGATTAAGAATGACAAGAAATTCATTAACACAGAGCAAGTGAAGTCTCACGATGGTTAAGCAGGAACAGAGAATTGAGATGGTGTCACCATCAAGTGATAAAGAAGTGCAGGCTTCTCCTATCCAGTCTGTGATTGATGGTCTACAGCAGACGTCCAAGGGTAGACTCACTTATCGTCGCCATGGCGAACATCACCTTGACTTGCAACATTCTCATTCTGTGAGTAGAATGGGTTTTCTTCAAAATCGTTATTCAATATTGATGAGTATCTCATATGTTTTCCTTCAGGCTTCCTCTCATGCCTCTCCCCCGACACGATTGGTACTCTCAGAACAAACATCACTTGTTGCCTCTCATTTGATGCCAATTGGAGACCAAGTCCTGAGTGATACTGAGGATGAAGATGATGGTGATCTTGAGACAGTTAAGGATGATTCTGATGAGGAGACATCACTCCTCCCACCTGACTCAGCATTTCACAAGGAGTTCCTGTTATACGAGGAGGAGCGGCGGAGAAGGATCAATGATGCTATCTGTCAGAAGATGCTTGAGACAGAGAAGGAGTTGCGGGCTTTGTATGAGAGCGTTGAGGCTCAATTCTTGGTTCAGCAGCAGGAGATCCTTAAGGCTCATCAAGATAACCTTAGGCCACTAGAGCATGAGCAACTCATCAGGTACTATTAGATGCTTCAATTAGCTATTTTGAGTTTTGTCTTATGAGATGCCAGAGGGACCTATTCTTTGCAGCAACTTTTCTGTTAATACCCATCTTCAAGTTGAGTTGATTACTGAAATAAAGATTGCAAGTATGGCAGTATTATAAATCTTTACTGGTATATTAGGAGAAATCATGCCAATTTCATAGAAGTAGAAATCTTTAGCAAATACTTGGAGTGGCAACTAAGCAAATGTAATGCATTGATAGGATGACAGTGAGCTTGTTATTGTGTTAGACAAGGAAGTCAAATGTATTGCTTGTGATTCTAATGTGAAAGATTATTATGATGTAAGATGTTTTATTCTATGCCCTTGGGTTGTTCAATAAGTAGTGCATATTAAATTCTTAAAGAGTCCATATATGTCAAAACTGAAAAACCTCATCATAGTAATATTCTACTTTTTATGTATTACAGTAACCACCCTCAGCTCATAGTTTTCTCACATAGATTTGGCAGTTGCCTAATCCCATCATCAATCCCTTTTGTTGGGATCTTTCAGGTTCTGCTACATTGATCTGGTCTTCTGACTAAAATCACTTATGCTGTGGTTCTTTCTAGTGACTGAACAAGGGTTTTTAAAAACAAATCAGGTGAGCAGGGAAGTTAACACGTCGGCGACAATGCGTCCTGATGCCAGGATGCAGATTTTTTTTCAATGAATACCCTCTGGAACTGTTGAGAACGTTCCAGAAGATTATGNGATTTCGTAATTACTGATAAAAATTCCAAAAAATTCAACATTTTAAAAAAACTCGGCAAAAAAAATGTTTTCTGGGACCATGCGTCCTGATGGCAGGACACATTTTTTGACAAAAAAAATGCGTGTGGTCCCACGCGGTAGACAAGCAAAAATAGGCTGGTCATCAACGTGTTAAGAAGAATTTTCCAACCCTAGGAAAGCAGTTTTTGAGACTATTCTGTTTGCAGGGCTGCCCTACATTGTCATGCCATAAAATCAGACTTCCTTGGTGCAACCTATGCATCATGTTTTTAAGTTAGGCAATTATTATTTAGGAAAACTAAACATTTTCATGAATTAGAGCTACTTCTTTGCTGAGCAGGACATGACATTTTGCTAGTGTCCTGTTAATGGTTCCAAAGTTGCATATGCATCTTTATTCAAAATGAGAGTGTGAATAAATTGAGCCATGTGCAGTTACTCCCACCTAGAGATTGCTTCAACTAGTCTCTACATAACCCTTTTGGGCAGTATTTAATTTATTTAAAGTCTAGGCACAGTTCCATCTTCCATAACCTCCTCTTCACTTAAACTCTCAGAGCTCTCATCTTCAGTTTCATAATTTTCTACTGTCGACCTCACTTTCACTCAGTGCATTGTAAATATCAGATTCTTTTATGTATTTTCTGGACTTTTTTACCCAAAAACCTGCAAAATACAAAAATGTTTACAAACTTCACAAATGACACCAGCAATCTTTTTTTTTTCCTATATGATTGATATTTAATTGTGAATATATCGCTAATTGAAGAGCAAATCTTCCTGTATTGGTAGGTTCTATCTGTTGAATAGTTCATGAACTACTTCAAAATTTTGCATTTCAAATGTAACCACAACACAGGCTGGCTTGCTGACCAATTGGTGCCTATGGGACACCAGGCATCAGGCTGGCTGACAGACCAATTGGTGCCTGAATGAATTAAGGCTAAGATGTATTGTTTATATGCTATCTACCCTGGCTTCTCAATTATTCTAACTAATGAATGTAAAAATAAACTCTGTTCAGTACGGAGTGAGTCGAAAGTCACTGGATGACTTTGAACAGCTATAACTCGGTAAGGAAGGTGTTAATTTGCTAACAGTTTTTTGCATATGAAAGAGCATGTGTTAAATGACCAAACAACATGGACCTTTGCATAAAATAGTAATAATATATAGGATGAGTCAGCACAAAACATAAAGCAACAGTTTCAAACATTAAATTTATATTTAGGGTATGGATGTCCTATTCACAGTTATTTTCTGTTAATTTTTGCTGCTCAAAATGGATTTCTGATAATGCTGATGAACTTTCTTTGGAGGAACATGTTGCTGTCATGTATTTCTTCTCTATCTGTGAAAGAAATCTTTCCAAAGTGAAGCATCGTATTGCTTTGAAGGCAGGTGGATAAGACGGGTCAAACCTATGGAGTCACCTCCCAGGTCACTTGACCCAACTCCACTTGCCTTCTGGCTGTGAGGTTTCATTTAAAGACCAGGTATATGCCAAAAACTTGTGCATGATCAATGAGCTGAAGCAATGCATCACTGAGAAGCTTGCAGGAGTTGCCTTTCAATGACAGCTTGTGTGATTGAGCTTGACGGTGCTCATTATCATTGCTGGTAATTGCAGTCATTTTTACCCCAAAAAATAAACGTTTTTCAACTTTGCATTGTTATATTAATTAGTGCACACTCCTTTGCAAAAAAAACTGTTTGCAAGTTAATGCCTTCCTTGCCAGGTTATAGCTGTTCAAAGTCGGCCAGTGGCTTTTGACATCACCCTGTAGATGGCCCTTATACAGCTTTTTAAGTTTCATATTATTCTGTTATTTGTTATTCTGAATTTAGGAAGCAGCAGGTGGCACTTGGCTTTTTCTGATTTTGAGGAATAGGTCTCCTAGCATTTATTTCCCTGAATATTCTGGATTGATGTTTGACAGATGGGAACGAGTACTTAAGAAGCAGGAGGAACTTCGAGCTTCAGAGGCACAGCAGGCACTTGAAGCAGAGTCCCATCTGCATCGTGAAGTAGAGCGGTTGGATCTTGGCAAGAGGCTTGGAGAGGCCTCTGCTGCTCGAGAAATCCTCAATGAGATACTCAAGCAGCATCTGAGTCTGTTGGCATCTAAGCAGGTGGATGAGAGTGCCACTCGCATGCGTAGGATCAAAGTTCTCATGCAGGACCTTGAGAATGGGAGCAAGGACAAGGACAAGGTAGCTGCCTTCAAGACTGAACTTCATGGGCTTCAAGAATGGATTGGGTTCATCCAGAATGAAGTTGGTGAGTTGGGAAGGACTTACCTTGATGCTGACTACCAGGATTAACTCTTTTCATGCCATGAATGGTGATTGCCATCATGAGTTTTTTTTATACCTGGGATACTTTGTACAGAGTTGGAAGCAGAATTCATTTCTTGGTATGGTAAATTTAAAAAATACAGTATTCAAGTATCTTTTTTAGTTCCAGAGATATAAGCATTTTATGAAGTGCATATGTAAAATCTGCTATAGGAAATAGTTCTGGCTGGAGTTTACTTGTGCCCTACAATATGTTTTTGACACAGAGGGTCAAGCTAACAAAGTTACTGTTCACATTGATATTTTTCAATAAATGCAATTATTAAGAACAGCAGGTATTGAAGGCATTTATAAAAAATAGTGTAATTTCAAAGCAGAAGAGGGCCAAGGCCCAGATCACATTTCAGAAACAAAAAGTTTCATGGAAGCATGAAGAATAGGTGATGTAGATGGAATAAAAAGACAGTTCCTGCTCACTACACTTATACCAGCTGCTTCCAGACAGTAATGAACATGGATCTATTTAGCCCTTTTGTGTAAAATGAGAACTTTCATTCTGTCTTCTCTTTTATTTTTAGAGTGGCCTAAACTCCTGCTCTTGATCCCTGCTTCTTCCTCATTCTTTCCATATTATTGTAGATTGCTCATAAGAAACATATATCATTGAATATTTTCAGCTTTAGCTTTGGCCAGGGCAAAACAGAAGGAAGAAGATATGAAAGCAACTAACACTGTGATTCCTGAAGCCCAGACAGTGTCTACTGCCATCAAGTCTCCCTCACTAAAAAAGGACTCATTGGTAGAGGGAGAGATCCAGTCACACACAGAAGAAAAACAGATCCATAAAGAGCAGAAATCATCTGAGGAGAAAGGTAAATGAAGTGTTGTCCTCTGGTGAAAACTTGTTGAACTTCTTGGATAAGTGAAACTGCATTTGTTTTTTGTTGCTGTAGAGTTTGGGTTGAAGGGATATGTGAGTAAGGAGTCTCTGAAACGATGGGCCATGGTTCAGGAGAAGCTGACTTTTGCCAAGCGCAATTCCCAGGAACTTTCCACTACACCTGCACTCAAGAAATTTCGTTTTGAACTTCAGGTAAGCTTTCATTTAGAATTTTTATTAGTTTGGCTATGACTTACTCTTCCATTATGAAATAAAAAAAAAAAAAATTATCTATTGATAAAAATGCTCTTTTTAGGAAACTGTAGTTGTGAATCAATGATGAGGATACTTGTTTATGGAATTTTAAAAAGAGATTTCATCTATGGAAATAATGGATTTGAAACATAGATTATATGCATTGCTATTGTGAATAGGGCATACTTGTTACTGCTATTCTATATTGATTTTCTGATTGTTCTTCTTGAATTGGCTAGCAAGGCAATATTTTGTACTTCTCAGAGAAGCAAAAAATTGCATTCATTCAGGATTTCTTGATTGGTGTGCTTCACTTTCTTTTGTAAAAAAAAAACTACCAAAATACAGAAACTGAAAGAAAAAACTGAAATTTACAGATGATTGCCTGCACTGTATCATGATGGTTCCCTGTAAAAAGAAGCTCCCTATTATTAAATATGAGATCCTCAACTTGCTTGATGTTCATGTTGTTGAAAGTGGCCAGTCTTGCACCATGCTGTTTATTCTGTACACTTTCACACCTCTTTAAATGATTTGCACTCGTTGAATACAGATGTCCTTAACAGTCATCACCATAGTGTGCAGTCAAATTTTCATTAATTTCAATAGGTTTGATGTTTTTGTTGATCAGAAATTTCATAATGATCCGCTGTCCCACCTTCTTTGTTACCTCAATTGCTGCCATCTTGATTTTTAGCACATGCAGTAAAGCAGGAAGAGGCATTTGTTGGTATGGATTAACAACACTATGAAGACAAATCTCCCCAAAACAATTAGTCTACATGCATTACTCTGCCTTTTATGAACAAAAGTGCACATATTATTTGAATACCCATCATATATGATTGGCAATATACAGGGTGGGCCATTTATATCTGACACATTTTTATTTTTAATTTCTAAAGAATAGCTGTAAATTTGAATTAATTTTTTTCTCTATGTTACAGGTAAAGCCTTGGAAATTTGAATGATGAAACATTTGGATGTGTCAACACAAGAAAAAATTGTGGAAATCTATTTTAGACATAGCTCTGTTATGGAAACTCAGAGGGCATTCAGACACTAATTTCAACACAGAGTTGCCCTGTGTCGTAACACCATTAACTGTTTGTTCATGTCAGATGAAGCACATTTTGATATTACTGGTCACGCCAACAAACTGAACTAAAGATTCTGGGCTGAGGAAAATCCTAAAGAGTTACACCAAAGAGGGCTGCATCCTGAGAAAGTCCTGGTATGGTGTGCTGTTTCTGCAAGTTGCATCATTTGAGCTGTATTTCTTCGTAAAAAAAATAACGTGACTGTGACAGTAAACTCTGAACTAGAGATGCAACGATATTTTATCGGTTATCGGTATCGGCCGATATTAGGTGAATCCGATATATCGGCCTAAAACGATATATGACCTGCCGATAACCGATATTGAAA